AATTAAGCGCCAATCATTTCTAGTAAATCACGTTAGATTAGTAATATTAGATTAAATTTTTGTCATATTAGTAATATTAAATTAAATTTTTGTCATATTAGTAATATTAAATTAAATTTTTATCCGTAGCCAAATGAATAGATTAAAGATAGAATGGTTTAACAAGGAAAGATTTGGAAACAGAGATCAACTAGAAATTTGGAATACATGAAAACAGAATTAAATTTGGAATACATGAAAACACAATTAAAATGCAACCGAAAGAAAAAAAAATTAGGGAATTAAAAACCACAAACTAAAAGGCAAACGTAAATATAGAGGGTAAATACGGAGAGTAGTAAAACCGAGAATAACTTGAAATAGCGGTATCTACTTTTTTTTTTTTTAATAAAACAGTAACCATGAAAAATAAGATTTGTAATAAAAATATAATTATAGACATATAACATTTCAAGACCGTTAACAAAGGACCTATGTAAATTATAGAAATACTTTTGTAGATTCCAAACTTGAAACGGATGTCTTGGGCTCACATAGGTTGACTCGGATTTCAAAGGACAAAATCAAACTTTCATTAAAGATATATTTGTGATAACGACTTAAGCTAGCCAGGTAAGTGACCTTACTATTGTTGGGTTTTATGTCCTAAAACTCATAGTTTGTAAACGAAAAATATATTCTATTTTCAATAAAGTTATTATTGTTGTTTATTCAGTAAAGATTGTTATCGAATAAAGTGAATTTTTACGATTATTAATCTAAATCCAATAAACTAAGAACACTCTGACTATAGTATGATTACTTGAACTATATGTAGAGACATAAGAGTGGATCAAGTTCAAGTATATAGTCAAAATGATCTATAGTATGGGGATAAGACTGAGTACCTTATCCTGGGGACACTAAGGATGCGGCCCACTCTTGTATATGACATAAACAATGTGATCACTAAATTGTACATGTGGAGACATGTGAGTGGGGGTGTCCTATGCAATGAGTATTGCATAAGATCGGACCATGAAGAAAATCACTCTCACTTTATAATGTCGTTTACTGTTGAGACTGATTTTCTTTTCATTCGATGACCTAGGTAACTCGATTTTAATCCTGAGCTAACAATGAACTCTTGTTTATTTGGAATTATCCTTAGATTTGCATGGGTGAGAGTGGCTCGAGTTCGCCGACTCAATAGGCCCCCCATTTTAGGGATAAGACTGGGTGAATGGCTGGGGACGTGGGGTGCAAGATGGAATTCACTCCTACCCACTTTTAGGGATAGAAGAGAGGTAGGTCCCTTAAGCACTAACTCCAGGTCTTGAACAAGGTGCCCCACCCTCTCATTGGCCTGAGAGGGATTCGGTTTACTGGTTGGACCACAAACCAATTGTTCATTAGAGGACCAGTGAGACATAAGGAACAAGAAGTAACTTTAGGGGTAAAACGGTAAATTGACCCAACTCTAGTTACGAACAACCTGTGAAGAATCGACTTACTAATCATGGTTATATCAAATGGACAGAAATATATCTATAGTGAGGGGATTGCAACTACTAGGCTATAGTAGAGTGTCCTAGTAGTTAACGAGTGTTGTTGATTAGCAAGGTTAATGAGTTTAATCGATTAATCTTGGATCGTTGGAGCCCATGATCTATAGGTCCATTAGGTCCCTCTGCTAGCTCATATCGGACTAAACAATAGAATAGTGTGACGAGTGAGTTCGAAGTGTTTGAATTCAAATTAGGGAATATGCGCTACATATATACGATATATTTAACCGCATTTTTGTTTTATTTACGAATTAAACAAAAAGAGAGAATTTGAGATATTTAAATAAGTTTTAAATATTTTAATCAAATAAGTGTCGGAATTGATTGGGATTGGCTTTTGAGTTAATATTAAATATTAATTAAATAGTTTAATTAATCATTTAATATTACCTTAGTTTGAAATTAATTATTCAAATTAATTGTTGAATTAAAATGAAGAAAGTCAAAATGTTGACTTCTTTTAATGGAAAAATCCATGTCAGTGGAATTTTGAAGTGTCAAAATTTTGGTTTAACCAAACTTGCATGCTTGCCAAATAAACCCCAAAAGTTTGAGTGGAATTTTGAGTGTCAAAATTTGGTTAACTCAAACATGCATGCTTGTCCCATAATCCCAAACATTTGAGTGGAATTTCGAGTGTCAAAATTTGGTGATCTCAAATTTGCATGAACATGCAAACATGACTCTATAAATAGAGTGATCATGGTGCATGAAACGTCTTTTTGGTGGAAAACCTTGAGACAAACACTCTCTTCATATACAAAATCCCTCCCAAGTTTAGTCACTCACCGGATTCCACAATCCCGTTCTAAGGCTGGAGAATAGTGGAGAAGACACTAGTGGTGGTTCGAAACCGGTTCGTGAGGAAAAAGAAACTTGAGCGACAAAAGGTTAGTATTCAAACTCATTGAGTTTTAATGCTTTTAAACATGTTAGCTAATTTANTAAGAACACTCTGACTATAGTATGATTACTTGAACTATATGTAGAGACATAAGAGTGGATCAAGTTCAAGTATATAGTCAAAATGATCTATAGTATGGGGATAAGACTGAGTACCTTATCCTGGGGACACTAAGGATGCGGCCCACTCTTGTATATGACATAAACAATGTGATCACTAAATTGTACATGTGGAGANCATTGAGTTTTAATGCTTTTAAACATGTTAGCTAATTTACTATAATTGAAGTACTTAGAGTGCCTAAGATCCAAATTACTTCCGCATGTGTTATATTAACACCTTCAACAATCGTCATGGTTATATTCAATGTTCATACGTGCCCCGTGGTTCTGCACGTGTCATATATATATTGATATGTGTGAATTGTCTGTGGATCGATATGCTTCTTGTATGTTATGTATACATTACAATAGGTGAATTGTATGATAAAATTACGGTACGATGTGTTCAAGGATATGTTTGAGATAGGATACGAGAAGGATGCTCAAAACGAAATGTAGCGATAGGAGTGAAATACGTTCATGAAACGTTAAGGTTAGGTTACATACCGGAGTGATATGGATAAGAGAGATTGATGGAAGAATACGGTTACGTTACGGGTAGAAAGGGATAGGTTTGTGATAGATTGATAGAACGATAGCGTTAGGATTGATAGAACGATAGCGTTAGGATACGTTCTTGTGATGATATGACTAAGGCACGTTCACGTAATGATATGTCTGTGATAGGTATAAGAACGTTAAGGCTGTGATAAGTTAGAGAACGATATGACTACAAAGTGTTTACGTTATGACTTGTTTATGATATGATACATTGTGATGCAATATGTCATGGTATGTTGTGTATATGATGAAATGTTATGTTAAAAGCATATAATGTTATGTTAGGTCTGTTAAATTGTGTGTATACAGCATGATATGAATGACATGAAATTACGATAAATGGCATGAAATATAACCCCGTTAGAATTATGTATGATTTAAGAACTGAAAAATAAGAAACGATATGATATGAATGATGAACGTGATGAAAAATGATATGATGTGTACATAATGCTAGCGGGGATGTATTAAAGGATAATGAAAATAGAAAAGTTTTGGGACCTCATGCACTTGGGGGATACCCCTGTCCCATCACGAGGGTACGGACGCATATATCCAATGGCAGAACAACGATCGTTATGCTTTGCATAGCGCTGCCGTGACGGTTACTTGTTCTAGCGGGTGTCCGGCCTAAGGGGCTCCCAAAGTATGCCCACCGGATAAGGAAAGTGGCCCAACGGTGTGCGAACAAGCTGGTGAGCCCATACTCGCACGTATGGGCTATGTGTAGAGTGTATGATATGCGTCCAAAATTACCCGTTAGGACAGCACCGTAGGGAAAACGGAATGAAAGATAGGTCCCGTCATCTCATTGCATGTGATTGTTGCATTTAACCCCAATAGTGGAGTCACTTACTGAGTATTTCTTTAAATACTCAAGCCATGTGCTACTACATTTTTCACGTAAAGGTAAGGCATTCCTGTACGGCTGACGACGAAATCGCAACTCGAGACCATGGCACATGCATAAGACAATGGTATTTATTTCTTAGACTTAGACTAGTATAGGATGTTTTTAACTTAAATTCTTATTCATTTTATTTAGTCTTTTGTTGTGTCGGTTTAAAGATGTTTTCGAAACACGTAAGTCTATGGCTGTGTTTTAAGATAAAGGTTATGTTTAATGGAATTTAAATGAAGTGTTCCCCATTCAATGTTTATGGTACGTATACAGTAGAAAATTTCGAGTCGTTACATTTCCCATCACATTTCACTTTTACTCCAATGAAAAATGGAATAAATGATTCGAATAATACACCCCAATGCTTTATAGTTACATAGAGTTCGTGGTTTAAGAATAGATGTTTTAGTTGAAAAAACTTGCAATCCAAATAGTTGGTCGAATTTCAAAATCCTCTTTACTCGATCAAACTCAACACATGAATATCTTCTAAACCCGTCGAATTGAACGTAGACAATTCACTCCTCCATGAAACAACTCGCCAACATGACACAGCTCGCCCTTTCTACATATGCATGTTACCCCAACTTTTTACACTTACCATTCCTATTTTTTTACCAAATTAAATTCAAACAATAAATATAGAATTCTTGTATAGAATGAAAGTCATATATGGTATATATGGTATGTGAGTTTGGTGCATTATTTCTAAATCCAAACTAAGTTAAAAATCTAACTAATATTGACTTGCATTCCTCGAGACAAGACTATTCAACTTTTACTCATATAATATACTTCAAACTTAGAATTTTTTAATCATATTATTATATTTGAGTCTGTATATATATTACACTTCCACGTTAGAACTACATAACATATTAAAATGGGTTCTCTTACCACAAGTGTTTTTGTGATTGCACTCCTCTTCTATTGCAGCATTAATATTTTCGAAGCCGCTGAATATCAAGATAGCCCTGCTCCTACACCAAGTGGTCAAGAGAGTCCCTCCCAAGGAGATTCGCGAGACATCCATATCCATTTCCATCACCACCACCACCACGAACACGGCCGCCATGGTAAGAGCCCACCAAGCCAGTCCAGCTTAAATGACATTGAAGCTTCCAAAATTCAAGATAGCCCTGCTCCTACACCAAGTGGTCAAGAGAGTCCCTCCCAAGAAGATTCGCGAGACATCCATATCCATTTCCATCACCACCACCACCACGAACACGGCCGCCATGGTAAGAGCCCACCAAGCCAGTCCAGCTTAAATGACATTGAAGCTTCCAAAATTCAAGATAGCCCTGCTCCTACACCAAGTGGCCAAGAGAGTCCCTCCCAAGGAGGTTCGCCAGACATCCATTTCCATCACCACCACCGCCATCACCACCACCGCCATGGTAACATTCCACAAAGTCAGTCCAGCTTAAATGACATCGAAGCTTCAAAAATTCAAGACAGTCCAACTTCAATGTCATAGTCATCGAACATAGTCATAGTCCTGCTCATGTACCAACTCACCACAACTGCCATCACCAAGTACCTACCATCACTATCAATTGCGATGACCTCAGTTTTTCTTTTAAAATAAAATTGTTAGTACATGTATGTCATGACATGTTTAAGAAATAATTTCTTTTCAACTTTAAAACTTTCGTGGACTCCAATCTTCCAAATAATGCAAACACCGTGAAAGCATAGTTAAAAATAAGGTTTAAACATGTTCTAATAGAAAAATCAAGGATCATGATATTTAAAATATAACAAAAAGTGTGGAAAACTATATGTGAACAACTTCATTTTTGTGGCCTCCTCAAGCGACTTTACCAAGGGAGTGGGAAAAATTCATTCACATACAACATGTACCATAACCGGTAAGACTTAATGTTTGTGGTTGTTCCTTGTGCACTACTTTTTTCGGGTAGAGTTGGATGCATAGTATTTATTTATACACGATTCACGTAAAACTTTTAGCATACCTCTCAAGTCTGACTATGAGCTAGCGAATGCTCAAATGCCGAAAACCAAAAGAATGAAAGGAACACAAATAATATCGTAGTTTCTATTCTATGATTATATGACATACAATATGCATGATCTCCCGCATAAAAAAAAAAAAAAAGTTTCATTGACATTATGCACATAATACTTTCATACTTACCATGACCTAAATTTCTTATACAACGTACATATTCATGGTATTTCATTGATTCATTTTATACATGGGTACATCATGGTGTCTCCCAAGACATAAATATGATCATATCAATACATCAATCATAATCAATGAAAATAGATTACATGTAAAAAGGTTTGAAATTCAAATGTCTAACCTCTCCCGAGTACCTTAGAATAAATGCAGGGAATTTAGACTCACTGAGTTGGTTATGAAAAAATAGTAGATGTTTTTGTTTTTAAAATTAAATATTCTGTTATGTGACAACCATAAATTAGATAAAATATCACCATCCAATTTTCAAGAGTCAAAACATCTACGACAAAAACAAAAGAAAAGAAAATAAAACTAATTTAAAATAAAATACCTTAAAATTTTGCGTAGTTATCTTATTTAGGGTTGAACTAACTTTTTTGTTTTCATACTTTGTAAGTTTGCATTGCAGTCAACTAACAAAATCCTCGGCATCATTTCTTATAGGACAGTTTGATAGCTTTATTTGAACACATTTGTGTAAAGTTTTTAGTTTACCCATGTAGTCCTTTGTCCCCTCTCAAGGCGGGTTTATAGTGTAATGTGTTAAAAGATCATCACTAGTCCAATAGGATCAAGCCTAATAATTGTACTAGTCTATTGTCTATATAAATTACGAAAATTATTTAGGTACTTTAGGAATAAAGATACTTACATATTTTGGGAAAATTATTTAGGTATTATAGGTAAAGGATTTAGGTAATTTAGTAATAATAGTTAAATATTTTAGGAATAAATTGTCTAGTTTCTACTATAAATGCCTCGTCACATCGGTGAGGTTTTCACCTCAAGAAGTCCCAAGTAATCAAAGTAAAACAAAATATTTGTAATATATTCTTGGTTTATCTTTACAAAGAGTGCTAGTGTTTTCCAGAGAGTGTTTTATTTGTAATATATTTTTTGTTTATCTTTACAAAGAGTGCTAGTGTTTTCCACAAAGAAGTGTGTTCAACAATCTCGTATCAGAGCAAGATGGGTGTACGATGGTGATCTCTCTCTGATTTTGCAGATCAAAAATAATTTCTTGAGAATATTAGTTAGTGAGATTCTTTGTGTCGTGAGACGTTCGTGACTCTACAAGGTTTATGTCGAAAAAACTTGTTTGGTATTACTAAGGTACAGGTAACACCTATATTCGAATAAGCAGAATCGAAGTCCAAGAAGTTGTTTACTGTAAGCCTTACAAGTACTGTGACGTTGAGACCCTTCACAGTACTAAACCTCTTTTCCATTAGTTCACAAGATTGTATGTTTACTTAAAAATGTTAAATTTATCGTAAACCTACTTATGTGTTTAGCGGTCAGTTTATGTGCCATTACATGATTTACATTGCACGTTGGATTCCACATTAGCGGATGAGGGGGAAGATCATAAGCTTATTTATAGCATAATGAATGATAATATATATTAATGTTATATTTCATATTAGACATGGTCAAGAATTATATACAGTAAAAACTATATATGGTAGATAGCTATATATATATATATATATATATATAAATATATAGTAGATGATTATATGTGGTAAAGTTATATATATTAAACTGAATCGTTCTCATTAGACTGTTTTGAAAATGTCCTTGTTACCGGAAGTCATTAATATAAACCTCTCACCAATATTTCTCCTTACATTTTCTCTCTCATGTTCTTTGTGTTCATCTACATCGAGTATGTGTTGTTGTGCGGATCCTAACATAAAAGCGATGGACACTATCTCCATTGGTATGAGATCTTTTGAGGAAACTAAAAGGAAATCATAAAAACTTATGTTCAAAGTGGATGGTATCATATCGATTTAGAGAATTGATGTTCCTATCATTTGCACTCATATTTTTATTTGTTCACACCTTTCGTGGTTGTTCCTTGGGATCTATTTTTATTTTCGGGTGGGGATGCATGCATAGTACTTCTTTACACACACCTTATATGAGTCCACTAGGCAAGCTCGTATAGTACTACCTGACTTAGTTATGAGCTAGTGCACACTCATATTGCCAAAAACTAACAAAAAAGAAACGAATGTGCATAATATTGTGGTGTACACGTCTCTACATAACGTATTGGATAACTAATTCATGCTTGTGTGACATACAACATGCTTGGCGTCTGCATTAAAAATCATTGTATAGTAAAATAATGCACATAATACTTTCATACTTATCAAGACATGTATTCCCTATGAGACGTAAATACATATTAACGATATTTCATTCCCGGGCATAAACATAATAATATCAATATAGTAAGCATGATCAACAAACAAAAAGTATATGCGTCATGAAATTCATTAAGATTTCATAAAATAAAATAATATCACGTAGAAATGCTACAGGATACGTGAGACTTAAGCAACAATGAATTCATCCCACCTAATTCGTAAATGTTCCAACGGTACGTTCATTTATTATTTTTGACCTAATTGAACATCTCTAAACTTTCCTTAGCTATTTTTACCTCAAGCTCATGCTTATAGTGCTTCAATTTCATCTACGGCATTCTATACGCTATTCTATATGTTCTGAAATTGAGGTAAATCCTATTAAAAAAACTTGCAATTTGAGTTGAATTAGAGCAGTTGAGCCGACTTGCAAAACTCTTATTCGCTTTAAGACATCTTAAATTCTTTACTCCTTTCTCCAACGATGATATGGCAATCAACATTAAAGTACACCAAAACAAATAATTGAAGGAGAAAGAACATCTTGAGAGAAGAGTTTTTTTTTACCCAAAATCTTAACCACTGTAGTTTTCAATTCTTATTGTTATTAATATCTAATCAGTATCTAGATGGAGAAAAACACTAACAAATTTTGTAAACTTTCTCAAGTTAAAAACCACATACAATTCTCCTATGTAAATAACTATCTATTTTCTTAAACTTTCTCTGCAATTTATGAACCTTAACAATTCTCTTAAATAAATCACTAACCATTTTTTTTAAACTTACTTAAGTGAATAACTATTTTTATTAAATCAAATTTATTGATTCACATTTTCTCTCCTAAGCTTGACTTGGCTCGAGATTCTCATTCTAAATAACAATCGCATGCCTGTAAAGTTTAATCTTGGCTAGAGCCTTGTTGAGTATATATGCATGTTGCTTTACCGTGTCAATGTTGCTTCATCCCTAATCAACTTTGTCTTCTTTATAAGAAATTTAATTGTGCATCATGAAATTTCTTTTGCTTCTCTATTATGCATAGGAATTTTATCCTCTTGTAAGATATTGCTTGTCTTTCAACTCTGCATTCCCATAGTATAAGTTCGTTAGAATTTTTGTGGAAACCATCCATCTCAAGAAAGTTGGATGAACAAACTAGATATTCAATAGAAATGGCGCAAAGAAATTGGTAATTGTCACCCCTTTTAATACTGGACTCTTGTTTTGTTTTTGGTCTGCTCCTGGGCTTATTTGGTTGAGATGACAAGTTTGATGTTTTTTTTTTAAAAAAAAAAGAAAATGCTAGTAGCCTTTCTTCTAAGCCTCCTTGGTTGACATAATAAGTTTGATGGAGTACATTGACTTATAAGTTGCTCTTCATGGATCATCGTAGCCTCGTAGTCTTTAGTTTCTTCTTCTCCCAACTCATTGGTTTCTTCTTCCCTTTCTTGATGCCAATGATAGTTTCTTCTTCCCTTTCTTGATGCCAATGATAGTGCCAATGGAGGTTTTTGAAAAATTTTAATGGTGTTTCATTAGTACCTTAGACAGGTGGTTTCGTGACAATTTTATCTTAATCAACCGGGCTCCATTTTTGTCAAAGAACTTGAGAAATGAGCCGACTAACTCCATTATACTACCTTCTTCTGTCATTTGACCAAGACCAATAATATTGCTCTTCACACTCGGAATGTAATATACAGGTCACCAAAAGTTGGTTGTCATTATTACACAGGAAAAAGATGGATCGGTACAATAGATTTGTCTCAGAACTTCATGTTTCCAATGAATTTCTCATCAAACTCCTTAAATTTTGTTCAACCTTTAGTTATTGTTAGACAAAGTCTAGTGAGTGGAGATAGGCCACAAAATTGAGTTGAGGTGACGTCCAGTGGAATGGCATGAATTGAGTCAAACCCTAAACCCTAAATTAAAAAAAGAAACACAACATTGGTTTTGAGCAGCAACAAAATCATAGATTTCATTGTCTTACGCTTATGTCATATGTTCCTGTTCTTACCGGCGGCAAACTGCCATCCCCGAAAGACTTCAAGTACAAACCATCCCCGAAGCCTACGGTACATCATCTCCGAGTGTTCGAAAAGCCTACAGTACATCATCTCCGAGTGTACGACTACGTCACGTACATGAAGATCACGCATCTCCACCTCGTCAAGCTCGATCTCAAGAGACTGAAGGTCGTTTTCATCGGCTATGAACCCGGGAGCAAGGTGTAGAAGCTCTATGATCCTACGGGG